TTCCTGCTGTAGATTTTGTGCTTTTTCACACTTTTTAATTACTTGCTGTTTGGTAGATCCTTTCTGTTATTATTGAAGCTATTGTCACTTCTGCCTCTTTTTAGAATATCTGTCAGTACTCTTTGTAGGGTTGGTTTGGTGGTTATGTATTTCTTCAGTTGTTCTTTGTCATGGAAGGATCTTATCTTGCCACTGAATTTGATAGTTTTTTAGGGTACATCAATCTGGGTTGGGAATTATTTTCTTTCAAGACCTGAAATACTTCACTCTAGGCTCTTACTTATTTGATGGTTTGTGTTGATAAATAACAGCTTTTAATATTCTGTTCTTTTGCTCAGTTTCTGAGATCTTGGTTATTATGTGTCTAGGTATAGATTTATTTTGATTATAACTGTTTGGAATTCCAGATGCCTTTCTTATTTATATATCAGGTTCTTTTCTCATGTTTGGAAAATTTTCTGCTAGAACTTCTACAAATAGTCTTTTTATGTCATTTGTGCTGTTTCCTGCTGCTTCATTGACACCTATTATTCTTTATTATTTTTCTTTGTATTGTGTTATAGCTGCTGAATTGTTATTTTCTGGTTCCTTGTTTGTTTGGTTTTTTGGCGGAACCGGGGATTGAACTCAGACACTTGCACTTGCCAGGGAAGTGCTTATTCCACTGAGCCATCTCCCCAGCCCTTGGTTCCTTGTTTTAGGAGATCTTTCATGTTCATTAGGTACACCACTGTCTTTGAGGTCTGAAAATCTATCTCCAGTTTCATTCAAGCAATTTTGCCAGCTTTCAGCACAGTTCTTAATTTCCTGGATATCTGTTCTAAATCTGTTTCATGCATTCTAATTCTTTCCTGTGTTCTTCTTTCAGTGTTTCCATCATTTTTCTATTCCTATTTTTTATTTTTTCCATAATTTTATTGAGAAACAAATAGCAATGAGATAGTTTCAAACCACATTGATAGGACAGTTGCAATAATTAACACATTGCATACATTCTACCTAGTGATATAAAATGGCTATTGATTTTTTTTTATTTTTATTTTTTATTTTTTATTTTTGTGGTACTGGGGATTGAACTCTAGATCTTCGGCTTGTCAGGCAGGTGCTTATGTCCTTGAGCTATCTCCCCAGCCTTCTATTTTTTATTTTATTTTTACTTTTTATTTTTGTATTTTAGGGAAGGATCTACAGGGTGTTCAGGGTCTCACTACTACATCAGATTCATAGTGATTCTCCTGTTTATAGCTCCCCAAATGCTGGGATTACAGGCACACGACACTGCACCCAGTCTCAATCACTGGCTCAGCGTGCCCTGGGGGCCAGGGCAGCAAGGCAGGCCTGGGGATCAAACCCCTGGCCCCTGTGCCTGTTTGCAAGTGCTTTAATCCGCTGAGCTATTTGGTTAACCTTTCCTATTTTGTTTAATCTATGTTTTTGTTAGCTGTGCTGAGCAATTCTTTCACGATTGTTGTCATTTCTTTTTTGACCTGAGAGATTATTTCTGATCTTATTTCTTCTATAGCCTGATAGACTTGTTTATTTCAGTTGCTATCATTTCAGAAATTTCAGTTGTATAATTTCTAAGTTCTTGTATGTTTTTGCCCCCTAGATTTGTTCCTGGATTTGTTCTGGTGGGGTGGAGGATTGAAATTGCCTTTTTTTCTCCTGCATTTTGGCATTTTTGAAGCTCCCAGTAATCACCCAGATTTAGCAGTGGTGGAAGAGTGGTGAGGCGTGTGTCAGTAAGGTTTCCAGTACAGTAGGGAGCAGGGTAGGACTAAGCAAGGCTCTCACTACTGGTGGGGGTGACTCTGACTCAAGAAAGCTTCAGCGTAGGTAGTGGGTGTTGGTCAGATCCACCAGGATCCCCTGAGCCACCCAAAATCCTCCTAAGTGCACTCGGGGGGCCAAGTGACTCAGCTTGCCAGAGTCCTGCAGGCTGCTAGAGTCCTCATAAGTTCTTAAATGGATGGACCAGGCACCAGGAAAGCTCTGTACCTGCGCATACTTTGCCCACGGATTGCAGCGCTCCAAAGTCCCACACCTGCGCACTGGAGTCTAAGATCAGAGCTTATCAGAGTCCTCCACAGTTCTTAAATGGCACAAACAAAACCTACTATTTTATAAAAGAAAAGAAATAATACAAAAAAAGAATGATGTCCATAACCTCAAAATAAAGACAATTGTTTTAAAGCAAAAATATGTGGTAGTCTTACTGGCTACTGTCTTTATTTTGCTTCTTTTGAAATAGTTAAGCAAATATTTTGTCATTGATTGGTATAAATCTGTTGACTACAATTTGGAAACAAAAGGGCCGGGGAGATGGCTCAGTAGAATAAGCGTTTCCCTGGCAAGTGCAAGGGCCTTGAGTTCAATCCCCAGTTCTGCCAAAAAAAAAAAAAAAAAAAGAGAGAGAGAGAGAGAGAAAAGAAAAAAAAATTAAAACCAGAGATTTAAACAACCTTAAGTATCAAAGTTAAAGACTCATGAACACTAATACAAGCTAGTTCAGAGGTGTTGGCTCTCCAGGTGGTTTCTCATATCCCTTACCATTCTTTTTGCCTCCTGCCATTGTCCAGGCTCTTAGCAGCTTGCCAGCTCTGTTGCATCTTGCACAGTAGCCTCTTACCTCCATTATCCTCTTCACTATGACCACAGTGATCTAATGAGCAGAGCTTGACAACCCCCCTGATGGTTTAGATCTAAAATGTGGACCCAAAGCCTCCACTAATGAGTTCATAGCAGACTTACTGTTAGAAAGTGGAGACCAATTAGAGGTGGCTCACAGGGAAGTTACACTCCCTTCTTTTTCTGCTTCCTGGATGCTGCCAGTTGAACACTTTTTGCTCTGCTGTGCCCCTTTGCCAGCCTGTTTCCACCTCAGACTGAAAGTATGAGCCACAATAAAAAAAGAAAGAATGAGCCAAAATAGATTCCTCCTCCTTTAAATTTCAGATGTTGGGTATCCAGGGACAGGAAAGTGACAAAGACATTCCCCTTCTTTGAAACTTTACTTTCCATTGCTGTAAAGTGGCCAAATTAATACACCAAGCCTCACCAGACTGTGAACTACTTCCTGTGATCCTTACACTCTGCTTAAAGGCTTAAGAAAGAATTTCTCTTTATGGAAAAGAAGTCTGGATGAAAACAATCTAAAGATAGTAAAGTGGTGAGCCCAAGCGTGGTAGTGCATGCCTGTAATCCCAGCACTAGGGAGGCAGAAATCAGAAAGATCACTATGAGTCTGAGCTGATAGTAAGACCTTGAAAAAAAAAAAATCTACAGTGGTAACCTGTTTGTGAGGACCTAGACTGCTTTCACCTTTCTGCTGCACCATTATAGCCTACAGTGCTTTTCTTGAGGTTTTTTTTAATGATCCAACATGGGTGACAGAGCTCCAAACATGATGCACACTTTCCAGGTACCAGAAAGGAGGAAGGGAGAACTGCAGAAGATACTTCCTGTAGCCTTCTAGAGTCTCACATAATAATTATGCTTATATTTCATTGAGTACATCCAGCTGCCGGGAAGCTGGGAAATGAAGTCTTTGGGGGAGTAACATCTGCCTGAATTAAATCAGAATGATTTTCCTAGGAAAAGGAGAATGTATATTGAGGGGTGTCTTGAATTCTCTACGTATGTATATAGTTTTTATGAAATTATATATTTTTATGCTTAACATTTTATTGTGGCCATCTTCCATTTTCTTCAACATTAACTTAATGATCTCATAGTTTATAAACATACCAGTATTTAAACAACCCATCCTCACATCCTGTATTTTGAAACAACTGGGTTAGTTTTGATTGTTTTTGGGTAGTTGTAAACAAATACATAATTCTGTGAGAAAGTTTTGTTTTTGTTTTGTTGGTTTTGAGGTTGAACCCAGGCCCTTGAGCATGCTAAGCTCTACCACTAGGCAACAATGCCGTTCCCCATGATGATAATTCTTATAGATAAATCCTATCAATTGTGTCCTTAAAGGATGTTCTTAGAGATGAAACCCTCAATCAGAGGTTATGGTTAAGTCTCCTAATACACAATTCTAGAATGTCTTCCAAAAGATTATTTCACTAGCCTTGCTAAAAAAACAAACATAGGTTTATTCTTTTTTTCATAAAGAAAAAAAATAAGTAATTCAAAATATAAAGTGGTTATACTAAATATTTGGTTAAACTAACAACCATTTTTAAAACTTGAATTGCTCACATGTGACTGACTTTCCCCAGCGTAAAACTGCTTAAATGCAGAATTAGTCATCATGTATTTACTGAATGTCTGGGTGTAAAGACAAATATTAATTTAATAAGATCTCAGGGCTGGTGAGATGGCTCAGTGGTCTAAAGCACCTACTTAGAACAAGCTTAGCAAAGCACAGGGACCGCGGTTCAATCCCCCTGCCCACATGCCAGCCAGCCCCGCCCCCTGGTGGGCTGAGCTGGCCACACACACACACACATAAATAAATAAATAAAAAGATCTCTTCTTTTAAAGAACATTCATTTTGAGCAATGATGAGGCTATTTTTTGGGTTTTTGGTTTTGTTTTGTTTTGTTTTTGAGACAGGGTCTCACTATGTAGTACAGGCTGGCCTTGAACTCGCTTATGTAGCCCACACTGGCCTTGAACTCACGGCGATCATCCTGCCTCAGCGGAATGATGAGGTTATTGAAATAGGCACATAACCTCTGAAGGTACCTCAAAACTGTAATTATGAATGTAAATATTCTTCAGTTTTAAAGAGCTTACAGCTGTAGCTGTTTGCATCTAAGAAGATAGCAAGCCATTTTAGACAATGCACAGCAGCACTCCTCAGCTGAATATGTCTATGCGCAGTGTTCATTCTTTCTGTTCTGAAACTTACTAAGCTATTAAGGCCTACACTAGCCTTAATAGCAGGAAGGTGCTGCCAGAGCAAGGGAGTTCTGAGCCAAAAGTGACCACTGCAGTGGAACTGTATATATCATACATAATTAACACGGGCTTTTTTTCTCTCTCAGATTTGGTATAAGGGGGAAAAAGTTACAGTTTTCATCTTCTTATGCCCATAAAGCATCTTCTATTGCCAAATCCCATGGCTTGTGTGCTATGGAAACAGAAAACGAAGATTGTATAATCTCAGAAGGAATAATTGAGGAATACCTAGCTTTTGACCACACAGATGTGTAAGTATTATTCTTTAAGCTTTGTATCTGTATTTTGTATATTAGTATCTTTTTCTAAACATGCCATTAATAGTATCTACAGATCTACACCAGTTTTCTTTTTTTAGTTAGCTAAGATACCCAGAGTTCATGTTCTTAGTCACTACCACCAAATACTAGGCTTCCTTCTATGTTTTCTTCTGCACACATCATTTGCCTCTTCCTGAGATCAGATATTTTAAATGAGTTAATTTTTCTCCACATGATTTGATTTTACCTTTTTGTATATTATTACCAGTGGAAATGCTGAAACTTTTTTAAAAAGCAGTGGAAGAGGTGTAAATTTTTTAATACAAATGATTTGAAACAGATATATTCAGCGTATATAAAACCCTGTGCTTGGCATTAAGGCCTAAACTAATCATGCTTACTTACACGTTACTTCATTCTGACAGTACTACTATGACATAGATATTATTTACCTTCTTTACAGGATAGCTGGGAATCAGAATGGTTAAATGATTTGTCTGAGGTAAAACTAAAACATTCATTTGATTGTAAATATATGTTGTCTTCATTATTTCACATTACTTTTCTGAAACATAAGTTCTTAAACTGTTCCTCTAGGTCTTTAAAAGTCTAGAACTGAGTGTATTAGCAGTATATCTGAAGTAGTGGGAATTTCATTTTAGGTTGTGAGGCTGTGTAGTTAGTATTGTGTCACGTAGTTGTGGACTTCCCTGCCCCCAGCATATTTCCCACCAAGCTGTGATCACACATGTGTTTACTTGTGTACCACAGCTCTGGAGCCAGTTCACAGGAAGCAGGTGTCTAAACATAACACCACTGAGCTGACTCACTGTTATAAGAGACTCAATTAAATTCTTTTGGTTTTCCAGAGAATGTTCCCTTCCCCCTCATTTTTCCTGTCTTGTGTCAACTTATTTCCATCTTCTTTTTTCTCAAAAGTCTCTCCTTTGGCTTAAGATTATAAGAAAAATGTTGATTTAACTAATTTAAGATGTGACATAAATGGTTGATAGCAGTCCCAAAAGTATCCCTTTTCCTCTTTCTGGTAGAAACCCAAATGAATTTTCAGATAATATAAGGATTTTTAGAAAGGCAACCTTTTTTAAAAGATACTACACCAAGATAACTTGAAGATGTATTGTAGTAAAGTGTTAGTAACTGGAGTTTTAGAATGTTCTTTATTGAGAAGATTGGAGGTCAAGAAATAAAACACCTGTTGGAAATTAGTGTCTACAATAATTTGAGCAAATTGTTTTGGTGCAAATGGAAAAAAAAAAAAAAACCTGAAAAAATAAGGTTCAAAACTTACTCTTTCCATAAAAAATAAATTTCACATATGTAAAAACTTTGCATGTGAGAAATCACATAAGTTTGGAAAAAGTAAAATATATTTTAAATATGAGTTAAGACAAATAACATCAACAAGTGTATAAAAGGTTGTAGGGGAACCAAAAGAGGACAGGGTGGATCAGGGAAAGGGGTGAAAAAAAAAGCTGTAATATGTACATGTAACTACTCCCCAAAGATAATTGTAAACTGAATGAATTGCAAACAATTCACAA